ACCAAGAGTGTTTTTTTCTAGAGAGCAAAATACCTGAGCAGAATGTAAAGTAAGTCATAGAAATGTTTTTCTCGGTCGGTTTCGATCTGTGATCCTTAAAAATTTCCTAGTGGAGCTGCTTTGGAAATTTCACATGCACATAGATTACTGTGTAGCATCTATCAATCCAGTTCCTGTTCTTGCATGCCTTGAAAATGACTGTTCAAGCTCACAGGTGAATGCATAATAGAGAGAAACACATGGATTCAAATGCAGCAGGACCCTCAGGGAAGTCACCCATTAACCTATTATTGCCTTAGTCTTTGGTTTGGACAAAACCAAAATATGATAATTATTATTTTTTAGCTTTGAAAGAATTCCACGTAAGACATGAAGATGTTCCTTGTCCAAGAAGATTTTTTTAAATCTAGCTTTTTGATTAATTAGTGCAGCTACCAAGGAAACATGAGCTCACAGTTCAATCTGAGGCCCAGTAGTTCTGGAGTACTGCCTGGAGTCTGAAGCTCTTCAAGCCCTGCTATAAAAACCATAACATGACTGTGCAGCTATGGGACAATTCCACAGCCAATAGCCTCTCATTTTGCGATGAAAAGCCTCATAAAAGAAAGTTTCAATGCTTGTAAAACAAAAATTAATATTTCTTCTTGACTATTTTTTTCTTCCTGTGGGGAATATTACTAAGCAATAATAAATTGTAAAGATAATAGAAATGAATGAACCAAAAAAAAGTGATTTAGCTTTATTTAGAATGTACACATCTTTGGAGCTCCAACTTTTGAAATATAAAATAAAATATTTGAGATTATCCTTGGCATGATCAGAATAAACAAATATTGAGTTTCCACTTCATTATCTTCAATAATCTCCTGGGCAATATTTCTGTTTTTCATTACTGCTGTCACACAGAATGATGTTCTCCATAAGTCAGTTTTCAGCAGCTAAATGCTGCCCACAAATATGTGCAATTCATTCAGTATTGCAAAGGGGGTAAAGGAGAGCAAAGCCTGACCTTGAGATTTTAATACCCCATCTAGCTATAATGCACCTAAATTTAAATTTGTGTCTCAAAGTATTTCACACCACTGAGACACTCTCGACAGGACAATTTTTCCTAAGCATGCAGCATGTGCCCATCCACCAACACTCTCTTGAACCTATTGTTAAAATCATTGAAAACCAAAAAGAACCAAATAAAACAAAATACCCACCCATGAAATCTCATAATAAATAACTTTTTTTTTATGGTCCAGACAATTAACTGCAGTGAAAGGGTAGTTTTTAGTTCAAACAGAGCTTTCAACGTCAGAATGTTTGCTGGCCACAGAACCATTTCCAGCAAATTTCAGAGGATTTTAATGTTCCCATCTTCTTCTACATGGTTGTGCAGAGCAGCGAGATCACCTTTAGGAGGAGCCTCATCCCCTCCTGTACAGCTAACAAAAACTCTCCGTGGCTCCTGAAAAGCTGTTAGAACTCTACATTACAAAACACGGTTTCACTAGTAAAGAGTCTGAAAAAGATGAAAAACAACAAAAAGCAACCTCATGAAACCTATTCCATAATCTTTTCTCAAAATAATCTGCTGTATATTAACCTCTTGTGAGGGATGTTTGTCTGATCTGTTCTTTAAAACTTTAAAACTATTCTTTAAAAGGGTGATGCAGCACAAATATTAAGAATAAACAGTCTGACAGAAATAAAACAGAATAAGAGGCAGTGGAAATAGAAATCTGCTGAATAGTAAAAGCAGTTTAGAAACAAGTATTGTTATTTTGAGGGCACAGTGAAGAGTAGAAGGTTGGTTCTCTATGAAAGGGAGACGAAATAAATTTGCTTAGGGGTGATCACAAGAGTGCTTCTAACAGAAATCAGGATCAAAATTAACTGAAAGCAGGAAAGGGCAGAAAGCTGAATAGAAGATCAGCTTTTACAAATCTGAGCCAACCCCTCTAATCTTACTACCTTTGTTGTGCACACTTCTGTAAATGTGTCTGTTCACTTCTTTCACACCCCTCTTGGGCCAAGGAAGGTGAGGTAGAGATGCACTTTATTTTGCATTAATCTCACTTATGTTATTTGTCAGAGTCTGTTGAAAAACAGAATCCTTAGTGTCTAGAGTTGTCCTTTATGTTACTTGACCACTGACCCAAGCAACGTCAGTGTCTAATTGACTTCACATCTTCAGTCAGCAATTGAGCCCAGCACTGGACAGTCACCTTAGAGGTGAAATGTTTCTTAATGGACAACCTAATTCTCCTTTCCTAGAGGTTAAGTCCCTGTCGACACAAAGAAAATGTTATTCCATTCCTTTTCAGAGAGTTCAAAATTACTGAAGTCCATGATTGATATCTCCACCCACTCTTCCCAATTCCCAAAATACATAGCCCATATACCATGTTTTTCTGCATGTCAGATCATTCCCACTTTCCTCTGAGTTTGTTCCAATCTGACATTTTTTTCTCAAAGGGTGATAAGGAAAACCTGGCCTGATATTGCCTGCTCATCAATGTGAAGTTGCACACAAAACTATTTCAAGTGCCTCCTCCTCCCTGTTAAACATGCCATATGCAAACCTTTTTCTATAGCAATATGACCCCTGTGAGGAGTGATTTGTTCAAACTTGTTTGACTTGAACTGCAGTGGAAAAGTAACACCTGTGGAGGCAGTCACTGCACTCAGCAAGGGGACAGTAAGAGAGTAATTTAGCAAGAGGGATTAGCATCCTTATTTAACCTCACCTCTAGTATTCACTCCCATCAGTATCAGCCATGTACTTTGTCCCCTGCATGATTAATATTTTCAGTGATGACTGAAGCAAAGGTTGCTAAGTTTTCTGGCCTCCTCACCTCAGCCTACGGTTTGTTATCTCTCCCTGTAAAAGACTGGAATGATTCTGCCTCTTACAGCTATTGTCTTTATACTGGGTGTTGTCTTGTCACATCAGTTTTTAATGACATCTCATTTGATTGGCCTGGCCCGCCAGTTTTGGCACCTGCTACTGGTTTGTACTCTTCCTCAGTAGGTTCTGTGCAAATCCCATCTGTATCCTGTCTTGCTACTCTTCAAAGATGCTTCTCAGCTCCGAGGTCAGTGATTTTATCCATCTGATGGTTTTACTACTACTTGCTCAGAAAAGGGGCGGGGGGGGAAGAAAAGAAAAAAAGAAGTATTTGTAAAACTACAGGTTTCTCTCCTTTTCAGATGAGGACAGTCTTTAAAAGAACATGTTTTTCCTGTTACTCTTGTACATCTTTGTTTGCATTAGTTAGGCATCTGTGTTTGTATTAGTTACAACAACTGCCATGCAAATTGAAGCACTAATGCTGCTGGAGGACCTTGTCCTTGCAAAACACACGGTCCCTGTCTCAGAGCTGTGGCAGGCCTTGCAAGTCCCCTGGGGGACTGCTGAGCATGGCTGTGCTGGTTGGACATCTCTGAGAGAACTTTGGGGAGAGCCACGACTGGAGAAAAACTAAGCTTCTGCAAGACTAAAATTTCCACCTCCTCCAGACATTTGTATCCCAGTCTGTTCAGAAAAATCTCAAAAGTTACTGAAATTTCCACATGATTTCTAAGGTGCATTCTCCCTTCCCTTCCACAGACAGAGGAGGAAACAGACCATCTGACAAAACTCCTTCTTTTCCCTTTTCTCCCTCCACAGCAGGAAAAGCTGCAGTATACACACGAGTTTTTTGACAATAGATAAACCCTTGTCAAGAACTCCTTAAAAATGCATCACTTTTCAGACTCAGCATCAGCTGTGCCCCACAATCAACCACTAGATACAAATTCAGGGGGAAACTGGCTGTTTGGAGTCCAGTGCACAAGAGCTATTTACTGCCCCTCACTTCCTGCTCTCTATGACATGATGTCAGGGACTAAGTGCAGAAGAGTAACAAAACTAAATGCCATAAGAAACAGGAGGAAAAGGGGTTAACATATGAGAAGGATCCCTACACACCTGCAAGACCTAAGTAGCTTGAGGAGAAAGCAATAAAGTCTGAAACTTCCCAGGGGCAAGTTTCTTGGTCTAGAGTGTGCTCTGAGAAAGGGAGCCATTTGTTTTATCAGGCTGGAGAGGAGATGCCATGGAAGAAAGCAATTCAACCAAAACTTTGAATTCTTAAAAGATGGAAAAGGCCCCAAATGCTGAGGACTGAAGAAGACATCTAGCAGGTGTCAGACTGCCTGCTAAAGAAGCCTGGACAGTAAGAGGTATCTTGAGTGGTCCCTTCTACCTTAAACAGGAAAAGCAACTCCGGCAACCAAGTAACTCAATATTCCTGACCCTGGGGGTAACCTGGGAGCTGCTGGCACTGATCTGGAGTCATTCTCTGATCAGCAGTGGCAAAGTTGCCTGGTGCAGATCCTGGCCCTAGGTCAGGCTGTTGCCTGAGGGAGGTTCTGATGCTCCTGGCTCTATTTTTCCTTTACAGTAGTTGCTGGGACAGCTGTAAGCAACAGAACCTGGTTCCAGAGCCCAAAAGAACTGTGAAGGATTTGTGTCCATCTGAAGAGGTAGCTTTATTCCTGTGTAGTAAACAGAAGCCACTGCTCCCCTGCCCGTGGAAGTAAGAGTAAATACCTCCACTACTGTACACATTAATCCAAGCTGTAAGCTTATTCATAGCCCCTAAAATCAGAAGCTGAGACACTTAATCTGTTGATTTGCGCTAATGCCGAGAGGCCGCAAATGAGATTGGCTTCCCCTGTTACTATATTAGCTGTAATTAGCGAACATGGAGAGTGCATGCCCCGCACACTCTGAACGAAACCTTTCCCACTCCTTTCCCAGGTAAACCACAAGGCATGTCCTAAAGAAATATCCCTTCCCACAGCGCGCTACCTGGCACCTGTAGCTGCATCCCTGGCGCTGCGGACAAGCAGCGGGGCTGTCCCTGCCCAGGGCACGGCTCCCGGGGCCAGGCGGGCAGGGAGGGCCGGGCTGGAGGAGGAGCCCGCCCGCTGCTCTTAATTAAGCGCCGTGACCGGCGCTGCCCGCGGCCGGGCGGGCCATGGAGGTGGTGCGGGATGGCGTGGGATCGCTGCTGCGGTGAGTGTTGGGACACTCCCGCCCCTTCTTCTCCATCGCCTTCTCCATCCCCTTCCCCGTCCCGGGCAGCGGGGATGCCCGAGGCTGGGCAGCCCTCTCTCGGCCCCAGCGCTGCCGGGCGGAGGGCGCGGTGCGGGGGCGGGCGGGGATTAACCCCGATGGACGCTGCGTGGGAGCAGCAGGTCGGGACGCTGTGGCAGCCCTGCCTGCGGAGCCTCATGGAGCTCTGCTGAGGGAAGCACAGGTGGGAGCCCCGCAGCCGGAGCTGCCTTTGAGGTACGGTGGCCACTCGGCACTCGGGGCTGTGCCGGCCGAGCGCTGTCACCGCCGGGAGCGGAGCCCCGGGAGCCGCCGGGATCCGGGGATAACGTGACCGCAAGCCCGGCGGTGCTGTCACCGCGCCGGCCGCCACCATGGGGGTACAGCCCTGTAGGCTGCTCGGAAATCGGCTCCCAGCTACGCTTGTGGTGGCTCTACAGTTCATGTTTGAGCAGGAGGACCACGCTGCCCTCTGGTTGAACCCTAAGTCTCCTGATTAATTTCCGACCTCTCCCTGATTTGTTTTGTTGGGGATTTTTTGTTATCTCTTGTTTTGCCTCATTGTTATTGCCGCTGTCCTTTGCCAGCGAACCCTAACCTAAAAAATCATTCTGTGCCGTATCCTGGAGTGTGTTGTGCAACGCTGATTTTTCTGAGTGAGGCTGAAGATCATTGCACCACATTCTTAGACAAACATATGGGGCATGTTGTAAACAATGATAAAGAGTGAAATACGTGTACAGGGCTCAAGGCAAGCTTTTAATCCCCATGTCCTCCTAAAAAATTAATTCATCTCTCCCACCAGATTTAACACTAGAGTGAATGTTGGTGGCAGCATTTGTAGAGCCCTCTCTAGCAGATTGTAGTTATCCAAAGTAAACTGGATAAGATGCTAGAGTTTGAAGGTATTTGATCTTTCAATTATAAAATATTTTTGTACTTTCCACAGATGTGGGACTCCTTCTTCCTTTAGAGAAGAGCTAGGGCTTGATCCTTTTGGCTTTAAAGAATAATAAAACAATAGTGGACTTGTCTGTATTTAACATGTCGCTCAACTTTCTGATAAAATCAACTGCACCTTAGTTCCTTTCCACCACTTGTTTCGTGACTTAGCTTGATCAGCTTTTAATAGGAAATTATGTTTGGTAAGTCCAGTCTAGCAGAGGAATTCCCTGTATCAGGAATTGGTTTGTCTATGTTTTGAGGACACCTACAACAAGAATGGAGCTTTCTAAGAGCTGTGAATGTAAGCTGGCCTGTTTGAGCCTATGATCTAGGAAGGAGAGGGGCACACAAAATAAATTCAACAATAGGCCCAGAAATGGAAGGGTTCACGCTCTGTTTATCTGGCTGCTTTTCATCATCTTGCCTTTTGTCTCTTCATTAGCTGAAACCTTAGCCTGCCCTGGAGCCCAGACTCACTTCTTCATAAGCAGGCTTAGTTTAAAGATGATATTGACAGGTTTTATCAAAATGCAGGTGAAATGTCACCACTTCCTAAGATATAACTTCTTAAGATCTTTCCTATTGAGTGACTGTCTGGTGGTGATAATGTAAGCCCTGGCTTATTAATCTTTAGATAGACTTTAGATAGAACTAGGCAGCAATGTGAGGTGATTGTTCCTGACTCCTTGAGAAATTCTGCTCAGAGCTTCAAAGTATGGCTTGTAGAGTTGGCTGGGGTGAACCCTGTTAGCTCAAGTCCTGCCCATGAGCTGTGTCCCTAACACTTCTCATTCTTTGTCAGCATGTATGTTTTGGCTGTTACTCTTATGCTTTGTCTTTTGTGAATGACTTCTTGGCTTAACTAATGGGAAAGAAAACTTTTCAATGGGACTGATATTGACTGTCCTCACAAAAAAAAAAAAATGGCAGTACTCACATAGATATCACTCATGTTACTATTCTACCTGCAATCTTTCAAATTTTGAGAGGCAAAGAGATGTAATTGGCTGTGAAAGCTGTTAAAACCACAGTGCTGCACTTTCTGACATCAGGGTGCCCTGTGAAGTGGTGTCACCAGCCCCAAGGTAAATGAGCAGGCTTCCTTCCTGAGGGAGAGACTCAGTGATTCAGAATGTGAGCTGCCCACAGGCAGTGGGGTGATTGGGGACCATTAACTTAGTCAGCAGAGAGATTGACAAACACAGCCTGTCCTAGCAGGCTTCCCTTCTGTGGAGCTTCAATGCCCTTGGCAGTGCTGCTGTCTCCTTGTCCTCCTCCCTGGCTCTCACCCTTTTCCAGGAGGAATGGTGCTTATTAGCTCTTTAATAACCACTTGTTTCCTGAGAACCAAACTGGCTGCTTATCCTCACCAGCTTTGCCACAGGAAGGACAGAGGTTTCCATCAGCCATGTGTGTATAAATGCCAAATGTTGAAAGCCAGGGACCTACTGTATAGACACTAGCACAAAATTATAGCATGAGCTAGAATAAAACTGCTGAATATTCTCCTCCTTTAAAAATATTAAAGCTCCAATAATGCCAAGGGGTTTTTGAGGAAGGTAAACTTTTTCTTTAGAGGGAAGGTGATAGCCCAGAAGAGTAGTTCAGAATGAGAACAGGAAATAAATTATTTACTGAAATCTGAATCTGTTCAGGTGCAAAAATTACTTTCTGTACATTCCAAAAATATGCTTATAGACCAGATAGGAGGTGTGGAAAAGATATTTATTTTCCACGGTTGGCGTGGGTTTGCATAAAAGGTGTGACTGGGACATCATAAGTTGAGTAACTTTATAGCATCTCATTATTGTTCTAGGAAGTCCTGTATTCACTCTCTGGCTGCAGATAAAGGCTGCCAGCTCACTCTACCCTCAGTGAAAGTGTCTGACAATAGATTTTCCTGCATAAAGCTGACCTTTTACACCTATGTGGGAGAACAAAATGGGGACGCATTGCTTCCCCACCCCTGAGAAATTCAATATGAAGGAGCCAAAGGTAAAGTACAGAGGATAAAGTCCAAGAGTGTGGGAGACAAAATATTGCCTCCCTTAAAAAGACTTGGAAATCAATTTTAGCTTTTTGGCAAGCTAATTATTGACTTGGCCGTTATCATTTGGCAGAAAAAGGTGTCACTAGGTGTAGATGAGAGCAGGTCTGTACATTGGTGTGGGAGTAGGATGTTACTGGTGTTATGTGCTTGGTTTATCAAAGGTAAATATGTCCAGAAAAATCTAAAATCTCTTTGTGAAGGTGAGTTGAATTCTTCCAGCCTTGCTGGCAGCCTGCTCCAACATTATGCATTTATGTACTTGGATTTTATTGACTGCATTTAACTCCTTCTGATACAAGCCTCCTATTTTGTGTTTTTCAAAACCAGATGGAGTTTCATAGACTGCAGATATAATTTACAAACAAATGCTTTGACTTTTTGGAAGTCAAGTGTAACTATATCACAAAGCTCTGCTTGCATTCTGCTGCCAGGTGTTTTGAATATGGGTAATATGTTCAGTCTTCCTAAAACAAAAACATATCTTAACACAGAAGATTGCTTTCAACAAATTGTGTATGTCACTGAGTGTTTATCTTGGAAATAAAGAGAATTATCTAAGTAACTGAATGCAGTAACAGCTGCTGCCTTTTAAATTCAGTTTTACAACTCATCAGCTTCACTGTGATTGTGACCTTGTTGTCAGCCAAGCTAGAGGTGTCCCACGTTTGCTTGAAATTGTATTAATTTTAAAAGTCTTTCCAAATTCATGAGCAAGAGAGAGTCCAGAGATAACATATCTGTAGGACTGTGTAGTATTTAGTTTTGAAATTAAGCTCTAAGGGTCTTAATGTGATCTGTGAATTTCTTGTGTAATGTGATTATTTCAACTATCTTCCTCCTTCTTGCCGTACTTAACATGACTGTTTTTGTAACTATGTTGAATTTTTATTTGTCTTAGATCTTTCATATCCATGGGAGCATCTGTGGGAGCAGTAACAAAACAGACCCTGTTCCCTCCTCTCATGCCTGCAGGGCGCCCTTTCCGTGTGTCCAATGCCTCCCGAAGCAGCCGGAAAGGAATTGTTGCGAGCAGCCTGCAAGAGCTCCTCAGCAAGGTAGAGCAAACAGTCCCACTCTGACTGAAACTTGCAGGGAAATACAGTATCCCAGAAAGACAAAACACACTCTCTTCTAAAAAAAAAAAAAAACATTACTAGGAGTGTTCAGCAGAATATTTCAGATAAGCCAATCTCAATATGAAACGATGCGCTCTCTTTAGAATGCTAAAATTTCCTGGGTTTTTTTTCAGACTTTAGATGCCTTTGTTATAACTGCTGGAATAGTTACTCTGGTTTTGGAGGAAGATGGCACAGTTGTGGACACAGAAGAGTTCTTCAAGTCCCTGGATGATAATACACACTTCATGGTTCTAGAAAATGGACAGAAATGGACACCAGTAAGTTAAAATTGCTGGAAAGAGGGGAGTAGAGGAAGAAAATTTCCTCTGAAGAGGCAAGGTGTAAACTCTTTGTTGAGCCTTCCTGGATGAAAAATCAAGTTCATATTTCTTATTGTCCCTTGTCTGGACATAGATCTGTTGGCAAAATCCACCAGGAATTGAAATAAAACATTATAGCTGAAAGGACTTACAGGGAAAATACCCTGCTTTTGGAGAAGCTCAGGAGTATTTGTTCTTGAGCCTTTTTGTAACATAAAGAAAATTAGGACTTTGACTCAGTGAAGTTAAAAAATACAGTGTCTTCAAAGATTAGATTTAGACTGTAAAAATGCTTTAAAAAAAGTAATATAAACAAGTTCTGCCTTCTGGAGGCAATAATAGTTAATGATAGTTAGAAAAAAGCCTGTTTGATTTTGCCAGAAGTTGGCATCAGAACCTGTCAGTCTGCATGCTTCAAGATATTTAAGAACTGCCTTGCTTTAGCCTACTAATCATATAAATTCAGTATTTAATTAGTTATTTTATGGGGAAATAGTTATCAGTACATTAATAACGTAGAGTGAGACTCGTGACTGTTTCTCCATGAGATGGTTGTTGCTAAAATCCTGGCATCAGAATTTTTTCTACCAGGTGCAGAGCTGGCTGTGGAACTGTAAGCAGGGACACAATTTTTGTGCTTTCACATGCACAGCTCGATAATGTGGCCCTGTTTTCCCTGTCTCCTGTTGCAGTGTGGGCAGCCTGGACGTTTTCCCCCCAAATACCTCACTGGCTTATCAAGCTCTGCATCTGGGGCATGAGCTCCAAGGGCAGAAAAGGAGTTGCTGCCAGGGTGTGGCTCCACCTTGCTCCTTTCCCCATCGGCATTGCAGCAGCACAAGTCTGAGTGCAGCCCCTCTTCAGAATGTGCCGAGTGACAGCAGAGGGATTGTCACAGCTTCACCAGTCCTGGAGTGTAGCACCAGTTCTGTCCTGCTTTATCCAAATATTCTGGCTGCTAATGGGGAGGGGTGTGGGGAGATGCTTCCAAGCACACCAGCTGCTTGTACATGTCCAAAGCTGTTGTTGATAGGGGACCCTGTTGCTGGAGCTTGGGGGTTATCAAAGGAAAACAGGCATAAAATTGCTGGCTAATGATACACTGCTGTGTTTAACTTTGTCTGACTTATCACGGTGCTGTCTGAGGGCTGGGGTGTCAAGTACAAAAGGGCTCAGTCTTACACAACTCTATTGCTTCATTTAGCATGCAGAAAACAGCCTGGCAGCTGCCAGGTTGTTAACCTTGAGTGGAGCATGCTGAGCAGAGGATCTCGTGTATCCACTAGATGTCTCTGTGAATATGGGTTCTCTTCACTATTTTCTTTTTGTTTTTTTCCTTTCTTGAAGCACACACCCTGCAGCAGACAAGGGCTGCTTTCAATAAAGGAGGGTACATTTAAGGTGGAAGATGGTTTTCTGTGCTCCCTCTCCTTTGCTTTTCCACTTAAAATCTCATTATTAAACCCTTGGCCTAATCAGCAGTGGTTCCCTCCCTGTGTTTCTTTTTAGTAGGAAGAAAGAGGGGTTGTGAGCCAGGTTTAGAAGTGAGTCCCTGGCTTTCCACAGATGTCATCTTTGTAGCTGTCTCCAAGAGGGCTCATCAGCATTGTGTTCCTAAGCAAAAGGACCTGCTGCCATCCTGGATATTTAGTGGCCTAACCTTGCTGCCTCAGAGAGCAGCCAGAATGTACCAGGATAAATAAATGGCAGGAACATCATCCAGTGGCTTCAGTGTACTCTGAAGAAGCTCTACTACAGAAAATAAATACTCAGGAGGTGCTTTGTCACTCTAGAATTTTAGTGTCTGTTTGGAAAACTTCAGAAGCCTGTTTAGGACTTGAAAAACAATACATAAACTACAGACCTCCTTTTCTGTGTGCTAATGCTTTTAATTCTAGTTTAGAATTGACCCAAGACTAGAATAAGCAAAGCTGCTTCTGAAGAGTTGCACTGTTACTAATTGTCTTGCTGTAGTTTCCTGTGTCGTGGTACAAACTCTCTCTCTCTTTTTAAATCAGACAAAAAATGGAGTTGTCGCTGTGAGAAAAAAGAAGAAAATGGGAGTAGCTAACATCACATTTGATCTGTACAAACTGAACCCTAAGGATTTTATTGGCTGCTTAAACATCAAGGCAACTTTCTATGAGATCTACTCTATCTCATATGACATCAAATGCATGGGAGCAAAAAGTGTATTGCGGTGAGTGTCTTTCCACTGCTGCTCAGGTGTATGTGCTTATGTAAAAATTTGTTTGCTACTGGTTCTGTGAAGCAGGTGTGTTTATAAATCTAGTGTTTTTGTTATTTCTTATCTACTGCCCAATATGCTGACTCTTTCTTCATAAGGTGGATAGCTGACTGGTAAAAAAATACCTATAGCTTTTGATAATGGAATCTGAAGTTTCTGTCAAGGCAAAATTCTTATCAGCTTGTATTTACGGAAAGGGTGTAAGTATGGTCTCTTTGTTCTGCTGAGAGAATTTCCTCACATTTCCTTGACTTGTTTGAAGAACGCAGGAGGCTGGAGAAAGAAGCTCTTTGAAGGGGAGACTTCAAGGGGATGAAATGAGAGGAATTTGAGATCCAATGTCAGGGGTGTTAAAGCTTGCTCAGACATTGCAGTTCCTGTTTGCCAGATTTACCGCTAGAGCTACATGGAGGCAAATGAAAATGGAATAGAGATGACACTCTCCTCTCTTAATGTGGATTTGTCATCTGTAGTAAGACTCTGTGATATCACTGCTCTTAAGCCAGCTGGTGTGGTCTCTAGGCTAGCTAAGGGAGCCTGTCAAGGACCACTGTCTCCTGCAGGGCTGATCTGCTGTGAGCTCTGAGTTTGGTAGAACGGGATGTTGGGAAACGCTGTCTTAAAATAACACCTGTCCAGTCCACTTTTTACAACAACGAGTTGAAAGTTGGTGCCTTGTCAAGATCAGCTGTGTTCTGCCCTGATTCAAGAAGACTCCTGGGTTCAGACTCCTTCCCAGAGGTGCTATACTTTGACAGTTGTTTAAGCTGCAGCCCCAAGTTTCTCTATGTGATTTTAGAATTCTGGTTGAGACGCAGTAGTGTGCTGCATTTTATTACTTGAGGAGCAGATCTGACGGGGAGATGTATATGTCATCAGTAGGGTTTTGTCTTGTCCTGAGTGACATGCCTTTAGATGAAGTCGTTAAGCAGTCCTTCCTCTCCTGATGCAGGCATGCTGATTAGCATTGTAATGCTCATCTTGTTCCCTGTCCTTCAGTCTCACTGACCTCTCCCACTCTACTTGGGTGGTCCCATCCTTAATCTTTCAGGCTACAGCTGGTGTGGCTGTAGACAAGACTCCTCTCTGGTCAGGATGAAGTGATCATCCAGCTACAGGCTACATTCACCTGTAACACTGACTTCATTAGGGTTTCTTCAAGGCAGAGGTTTGTCCTTGGACAGCTGCACTCCTCCAGTTCTTATGTTTGTCAAACTCTCTCTAGCCAAAACAAACTCTGGTCTCTGCCTGCCTGCTATGGAACTGAGTATCAGCACTGGAACTTGTGCTGCTAAGGAGAGTTTGAAGTGACAATTCTGCCTCCCTGCCAAGACAGGGCAGCTGGTGAGAAAGGAGCAGTGCTGGCAAACAGCTGAAGTAGCTGTGGAGTTCTGGAAGCTCTGTTATGTTGCAGAGTTGAGCTGTAAGGGAAGTGTCACTGTCAGGGTGGGATGACAGTCTGCTAGCAAAGAACAGGGTGACAGAAGAGATAACCTTGGGTGCCCTTGAACACAAAACACAACAATGACATGGCCTGTCTCAGCTTGCTGTTGAAATCAGAGACAGAGGATGTCAGCATCCTGGTGTAGTCCCTCTGCTAATGAGTTCCAGATTGCTGACTCTGATGGCCTCTCCCTGAGCCCACATGCAGAGTGTGGAGGGAAGGGACTGAAAAATGCTGCAGCTGTTCATGATGGGAGGGGCTGGAAGCCTGCCAGGTCTGATTAGTGCATTTCCCCTCGTGGTGTTTCCCTGTAGTGTCCCACTGAAGGATCAAATGTCCAGTTCAACAAATAACTTGCTCCGTGGCTTAAGTGGCAACTGCTCTTGTGTGCAAGTGACACACTGCAGCTGCTCCAAAGCCCAGCACCAGGTGCAGCTTTCTTTGCAACTGCAAAGCTCCTCGGCCTGTTCTGTGTGCTGAAATGGCACGTGTGGGAAGCATGAATAAGGGTACAGTGTTCTTTAAAGGCTTCACAGGCTCTAAGCTCAGGGTATTCCGCTGTGTTGAGGTATTGGATTTCAACTGCAAACCTTTCATGGCAGTGGGGTTAAACATTAATTTGTTGGAAGAAGGCTTTTCCTTCTCTGCTTAAGCTCAAAGGACCAGTGAATAGAAGCAGAGAGTTCACAGCTGCATGTTTTCTTAGATAGGAATTCAGAAAATCTTCCTACTTTTTTTTTGCAGAAGAGTGACTGATTGGTTTCTGTATCTTCAGAAACTGATCCCATTCCAGTTTTTTTGTGCTGCTTCCCAATGCTTCACACTTGTGAGAGCCCTCCTAACTTCTGGGGGATGAGACTCAAATGTAGCTCTCAGTATTTATGCCCCTGTTGTTTCTTGCAGAATGGGAGATGCAGTTATAACTAAGTTGAATAAATGACCATTCAAATATGACTGATCTTTCCCTGTGAAGATACACAGTTTATATTGTCAACATATGATGCTTACCCAATGCTGTCTATGAATTTGTACTGATTTTTTACAAAGCATTATATATTTGAATGCTGATTTTTATCATTTTTTTTTGTAGTGAACTAAATAGTTGTGAACTGAGAATTCTTAAGGCTTGCAGCTTGGCCCGCAGTAATTGTTTTGCTGTTGAGTACGCACTGTAATGTGATTGTTCAGCTTCAGATCTAATCAGGTTTGATCTGTGGGTTGAAGATACATACAGGGTTGTATTAGTGAGTGACAAAGGTGAGATATGAGGTGAGTTTATGCTGCAGGAATGCTGTTCCCAGGCAACATTGTTTTCTGTGGTACTGTGATGGTTTGAGTGACAGCTTTGCAGAAGGCCTGTAAGGGTCTAACAGGATGTCAGTCTGCTTTGTTAAATGTGATTTCTGGTCCTGCCAACATATCAATAGTTTTCTGTTAATCAAGTATTTTCTCTAAAGAAGGTACAAAAATTACCATCTTCTCAGAAGTGAGAAGGAATGAGGAGTTTTGAAATATATTTATTCACCTCATCATAATGTTGTGGGTGGAAAGGGATAATGTAACCTTGCTGGTGATTTTTTTTTTTCTTAAACAAGTGACTTTTCTTCCAGGAAAGTGCTTCAGCTAATGTCCCATGCAGCACAAATAACTGGACAGTTTCTTCTCTACACTGGAACGTATATGTTGCAGCTGATGGGGGAATATGATGAAGAAGACATGTGCACAAGATCCAGGCGGGAGTAGTGACCACAGCTGCGCTTCTGGTGTCAAAACCTTTTGATTAAAGACATTCTCTTGCCCAGTTCTGATTGTAATAATGTTACAGTAGGGGGATGTGCACTAATGTGAGCTAACATTTTTCCTGTTTGGGAGTGCTTTTAGGCCTTAGCCATGAAGTATTGGTTGTTCAGAGGCCCTTAACACCACGAAAAGTTTGGTACGTAATACCTGAGAATCTGGCAAAAGGGGGGAGTGGACAGGGTTTGCCCCAGCAATTAAAAATGGAGAATAAGCATACTTGGAAACTTGCATGCTTTGCAACCAATGGAATATTTTTTTGAACCAATCAAGACATAGTTTTGTTCTTTTGGGTTTTGTTTGTTTGTTTTTCACAGCTATCTACTTGCATTCTGAACAGACTGGGCTATAAGGTGAGGGCAAAGGGACTGTGGAGCTTGTTTGTTTGTTTAAATCCTTAACAGTGCTGGCATTAGTGTGAAACTGACATTGAGGTGAAGTGTATCTATTTAATTCTGCTGACAATGAAACTACATAGTGCAACTTCAGTCCTACTTCAGTGACTGACTCTTTTCATGAGGTCTAATTGGAGATTGTGCAACTACGAAGCAGAAGGTTAAGATGTAGCCTTGCTTCCCTTAAAACGAATAAAACCTTTTCATTATTGTTCTTTATATATTTTTTTCAGATCTTCAGGATGTTCAGGTTATTACAGCTCACACAGTTGAAGAACCATACATTTTTTTAAAGAATCTGATGTCCAGTTTTGCCTGAGCATTCAATAATCTGCCGTGGTTTCATGAATATGATTTATAAGCAACCTGGTGAAGCTTTTTTCCGGGGTTAAACCACCACTTCTGTAGTTTTTACTGTTACAAGATGGCACTAGGTGTCAAATTGGGCTTGAGGTACATGTAAGAGATGCTGGATATTTTGTTGCCCTTGAGTTCAGGGGAAAGCAGCAGGACACTTTATAGTCTTGCATAACATACATACATGGATGCTCTAAAGCTAATATTTCCAGTATTATAATCTCCCAAGACGTGCTGCATTAAAGGACGAAGTAATATTTCCTGCAGTTTACTGAACTGTTGCTATGCCCAGCTTTCAGCAAGCTTTTCCTCAACAGTGTGAAGAATTGGAGAACAAGTAGTCTAAGGCATCTTGTGTCAAAATGCAAACTCTCATTGGTGGAGGAGAAAAAGCCCATTTTCGGTTGTTCACAGGTGTAGCTTTTGAGGTTTTTGTTTGCTTGCACATGAAGAACTTTAGGAAGGCTGAAAACTCTCAAGGGAACATCAGATGCAGGAAATCTTTCTTTTTCTAGTAAGAGAAACTCTGGCGCAGAGGGAACAAGTGGAGCAGGGGAGGAAATCAGTGGGAACAAAAGGGAAAAGACCACTATGGACCCCACAGTGTTTGCTGTGCCACTGAGACAGGAATCCATTAACTGTGTGCACCAACTGCACTGGCCTGATCTGCTACAGGAGAAGCAGAAAGGTGGGAAAGATGAAATGTCATGGTTGGTGGTGTCTGTTCACCTCAAAGGTCACTGATACATGGGAAAATTGCTCTTGCCTGTAGCTGCAAATCTCACCTTCATGTGCGTGTTTTTGCCTTCCCACTGTGAGTGTGGCTATGCCAGCTGGAGCTGCATCTCAAATCATGGTTGGGAGGAAAGGCAGCCTAAACCCAAGTGCTAAAGGGATTGATGGACACAAGTTTTGATCTGTCTCTGCTCATCTCTTAAGTGATGGTATTACAAATAAATAGACAGCTAAGAAAAACCTTGCAGTCTTCTAATTCCTGTTGTTTCCCATCTACTTCTGAGTGTTTGCTGGAGGAGGCAGAGGGCATACTGCTCCAGATAAGGGGAGGATTTGTTCTTTCCTAATTTCTCATGGGGAGAATGCCTGGGGCTTGCAGCACTGTCAGGTGTCCTTCAGAAGAAAACAAAGAACTATTCTGGGAGTAATGAGAAAGCTTCCATTTTGATATAACCTCTTTATGTTTTATCTGTATTTTCCTTGACACCCCCTCCCCCCCCCCCCCCCCGCATAAATGATTGCTGCCATGTTAATCGTTGGCCAAAGTCTTTCTTTCCTTGTCAAGGAATTGCATTTAACTGACTTTGGAAGGACATGGTAATTTTTTAAGCTTTTAAGGACCACTTATTCTATTAAAACATTCTCTTGAAAGCAAATTCCCTAGAATGCTTCTATGAATATAAAGTAAAACAACTGGAAAAGCTCATTGTTGCTTTATTTGAGTTACTTCTTCAACATTTGTAGTACAAAAGCTTTTGCGTGTCTGAACTGTGCAGATCCCAAAGTCCAACGTTCTCTAGCCAGAGGCAATTGTTACAGGACTAACACTCCACAGTTTACAGTGACACTATCTGGAAATCTAGCTGTGATGTGAAAAGCTAACCTACTATGAATGTGCTGTTTTTAAGCAGCTACTCCTTCAACAGCTTAACACTTAAAACTTGAACTCTGAAGTTCCTGTATGCAGCAGTCCCCATCTTGGAGCAATTCCATCTCTTCAGCTGTTTGCATTTTGAATTAAAGTAGCTCAGCTTTGGCATTTTCTCAAAATGGGAGAAGTGTCCTGGAAATTATGTCTGGAAATTATTTCATTGCTTCTGAATCTGGATCTTTCACAGGCTTAGTATTTGGAGGTGATACTTGCTAATGTACCAGCTTCTTTCTGGGAATAAAGTTTTGGCTTTAAGTCAAACTGGAGGATTTTGTCATTCTCTGAGTTAGAACCAGTTTGATTTTTTTTAAATTTTTTTTTACATACTTCTTAGGAAGCATAGCTTTTACTTCAGCTGTATATCACATGCAGCAAAGAAAAATTTTTTGCATTATCTACCTTTTAGAAAACTATATACAAGTGCTGTACAATATCTAGCAAGACACAGAAAAGCTGAAAACAGGCTCTTAACTGCAGGAATGTTCTTTGTTTTGTTTTGTTTTGCTTTTGCATTTTTAGCTTTAGTTTTATTTCCCATAAACTCAGTTAACCTTCACTTGTTGCTGTTGCAGACAAGGCTGGGAGCAAAGACATGAAGAAGGTGTGAAACATTTTTGCTGCCTCCTTGTTTGCACTGACCCTTTTTGCCTGTTGCTTTGCATCACTTACTAACAATGCACCAAGTCCTACTCTCTGGTTACCAAAAAAGGAATTTTCACTGAAGTCAGACCTTGTTGACTCAGGCACTGCTCATGTTCTGCAGACAGAGCAAAATTGCTTTCTTCACGACCAGAATGAAGACTCTAGTAGCTTTTGTGTATGTGCAGTTTATCATTACTTCATTTCCTTCCTTTCATAAATCCATGAAAGTTTTCTTGAACCTTCCGATTCTTTCAGGAGAAATGGGATTGCAAGCTCTTCTGTCCAGAGAGAGAAGAAAAAGCAGGGTCTAAATTCTTTAGATCATTTGAAATACGCTGTAGGAAACATTATGAATCCCTTCCCTACAGAGGAGGGGAAGATAAAAGCAGGAAAATTGGACTTTAAGATGGAATTTTTTCAGTGAAGTGTGATGAGAGGTAGGTATACACAATTTCGGAAATGTTGGTAATTCTGAGTTTTAACTGTGAAGATAACCTCATATGATAATTTGTAACTGGCAGAAATATAATTCTAAATCATTTCAGTGTGTTTCTTCCCTGACATGACACTTGAACTAAAGGCACAAGCTAATTAATTAAAAGTTAAAAAAAAAAGTTTAAAACCAAAGTACAACGTGTATTTCTGACTTGATGCCCCAAGGTATATTATAGGATTTAATGTGATTAACAAACCACTTCAGTTATGTATCAGCAAGTAACCTTGTGGGGCTTAGAGTTTATCACTGCTTTCTCTACCTTGCATTATCATATATGCAGCTAAGATATTTTTACGTGTAAGGATTGTTGTTTTGCTAAGGGAAAATATAGTATTTTCCCACTGCACAATTTTTAATCTCAGTAGTTTAACTTGCTGTGAAAATTGAGAAGAGTGAAAATTGTGTTCAGTGATGGCAATATTTTCTGCTGTGTGGTGCCAATTTAAAGGAACATTGTTCATTAATAAATAAAATCAAGTAGTGGCTTTGGATGTTGTCTCTATTCATTTCCAGAACAACTTATTCCTGAAATAATAATGAATATTAATGAATCTATGGTCTGGCACAAACTGTTTCCAAGTGCTGGACTGTGACAGTGAAGTAACTGGACACTATTTTTTGACTCTGAACTCTTAACTCCCTGCTGCTGACTCACTTTCTGGCCTCAGAGAAACTGTGCAAACTGTGTTTCCTTTCATACAAAAAGTTTGCTTTCCTCCATATTTTACAAAATTTGCTAAAGACTACAAAATACTGAGTACAGGAGATAGAAGGGTTCAGTGATCTCTGGTGTTCACTAAACACTGTTAGGGTCAAGGACCTCTTTATTTTGCCTCACAAAACCTCTCTGCAGTCATTTACCTAAAGATAAAGTAGTAGATATTTGACAGCAGGGAAAAAATTAATTTAGTTTAGTGAAATATCATATTTGTCTAGTCAGGATTAACTTAAAACTTGAGGGAGGTTGGCATGCAAGTGTGGTTTGTCTATTGCTCTTCTATGTAATAAGTACATCTTGTATTTAGCTTAAGGGACAGTTTTGAAGAGCTTGACTGATGGAGCAGTTCCCTTCTTGTGAGGGAATCATGGTCTGGTTTCTTGCTGTGTGAAAGCACAAAATAGAGCTGTATTTGTTTTAGTGGTGAGGCTTTGGCAGTGGGAATTAGAGGGATGCTGTGGGGGTGGCCTCTGTGTTGTATAGAGCTCTGAAATGAACCCACCATTGCCCAAAGTTGAGAACTTCAGACAAGCTGGTGGTGTCCCTGTGGAAACATATTTAAGAAAGGGCAAAAAATGCAGCAACTGTGAGAAAGAACTTAAAAAAAATGTGGGAGATATAACCTGCAGACATCAAGGTCAGAAAAGAAGTGGGAGGAAGTGCTACACATGCCAGACAGAGCTTTCTCTGCAGCCTGTGGAGGAACATGCAGGAGAAAACATCCACCCATGGAGCCCCAATCCCGTGGCAGGTGGGCATGTTTGGAGGAAGCTGCAGCCATGGGGAGCCCATGAATGAGCAGCTTTTCTGGCAGGAGCTGTGGCCAGTGAGGCAGCCACACCGGAGCAGTCTGTTCCACACACTGTGGAAGGGACCCACGCTGGGTCTATCCTGTGGGAAGGGCTCATGGTGGAGCAGGGGAAAAGGGAAGAAGGAAGGAACAGCACAAAAGAATGGATGTGGAGTGATCATGACCCCCATTCACCTGCTTGGGGACAGGGAGAGGAGGTAGAAGAGCTGGGAATGAAGGAGTGAAGTTCAGCTTCGGAAGAAAGCAGAGTTTGGGGAAGGTGTTTTAGTTTTGTCTTTGTTTCTCACCATCTTATAGTACTTTTTGCTGAAATTAATTTGATCTTCCCTGAGCTCTCTCTGTTTTGCTGATGTCACTAATTGGTGAGTGATGCTTCTGTCTTTGTCTTGACCCACAGACTATTTCGTTTTATTTTCTCCCCATGTGTGTTGAGGAGATGCAGTGAGAGATCAGCTGGTGGGTGCCTGGCAGACAGCAAAATTTAACATGCCACAAGAGCAATACACTGGAAGTAAAAACAAGCAAAATCTCCAAGGTGTTTGTCTTAATGGTGGCCAGTGAAACTGGAAACAAATCTTTTGATTTCTTAAGGACTTTTCACAGTAATGTTTGGAGGGACAAAATCCAGTCATATGCGAGACAAAGTTAATATTTTCACTTCACTAAGCTCAGTCTCAAGCATGGTTTTTCTAAGGTCATCCAAGAGTGCAAATCTTTCATAGTAGGCCCCAATCCTAATGCGTTCTTGATAAGAATATTTACTAATAAATAGCAATTGTCACCAGAAAAAGAACTTTGAAATAGTAGTGTAAATAGTTTCATAAAACAAAACAACTAATGAAATGTAACACTAGAAATAAAGCATGTCTTAAGAGGCTCCAGAATCAGGATAATGCATTTTATGCAGTTACAACATAAAAAATTGTTGACCAACAGTTTTCTAAAAAGTCTGCTTTAATAATTAGCATACATTATGTATAGATTAGGTGAGGGGGTTAAGTAATGTAACTATTATAACAGGTTGTTTACGATTGTCATGCATTTTAAAAAAAGGGAAAGCTTAGATCCTCAGACAACAACTCTATTTAAGAAAACAGTAGCTTAATGATGTGTGTACTCAGTCTATTATAGACCCAGAGAAATCTCAGACATCTAAGAAGTCCTTTAAAGTCCTAAAGGTAATTTCTTATGACACATTTTTAATTACATCATGAAGTCCATAATCTTTTATGTTAAAAACACTTCTAATTACAAAGCGTCTTCCCTTGCACAGGTACATAGCTTGGTTTGCTGCTGCTCTTTATTAAGAAGTGTTTTCAAATACTCTTCTCCCATCTCAAAAATCAGGAGATGAATGTATAAGAAAACTATAAATAACCTAATTTAAGTAGAAGGACTGTTGACTTAATACTGAGCCAGAAAAACTGAAATCTATGGCAAATTCTAGTTTATCCCTGAGAAGCTAAATTGCTAATTTCAGTGATTTCTGTACAAAATGTGCATAATGTAGGTGCTTTCCCAGCTGCAGCTCTCTTGCTTTCTTGTCTGCTTAGGGAAGTTGCCTAGAAAAGCTGCCTTGAACAGTTGCAGAATATTGTTCTAATTTCCATGCAGGTGATCATTCTTTCCAAATAAAAGTCAC